GCTCATGCTCATGCAATTATAGAAGCTGGCAAGTCCCAAGCCCACGGCTCAGACGTCAAGCTGGAAGCATCTTTTGACTCACACAGCTGCAGGGGCTGAAAACCTAAGATTGGCAGGCAAGTTAAGATTGCAGACTACTGGCTCACAGGCTGCAAAGGCACAATACCAAAATAAGCAGGCAATATGGCAAGCCAGATGATGGTCACATTATGAAGAGCCACATGTAGGATCCACATCAAGTGAAAAGCCAGAGAGCTTTGCCCAAACATCCATATATATTGAAAGCAGACCACATCCTGAGGAAACCTCATTTCAACTGATTGGCTGCTCATAGCATAGCTCATCATGAAGGTGGTTACGTTGTATCAGATCTCATCATGGAGGATAACTACATCATAACTGATAAACTGAGAATAATGGACCAGCCAACTTGACACACAACCTTAACTATCACATTAATACATAATCAAAAGCCCAATTATTTATTTTTTAATGCATTTTATTGAAATATAATTTATGTACAGTGAAATACACAACACTAAAGCGACATGGGTCAATGCATTTTCTTTTTCTTTTTTCCAGTGTTTCCTCCCCTCCTCTTCCCCTGCTGGCAACCAACAAAGAAAGTTTCCCTTCATATATAAACCTTTCCTTGACCCTCCACAACAACAAACTAATACTATATTTGTCCTTCTGTGATTGTCTTATGTCATTCAGCATAATGTCCTCCAAGTTCATCCATATTATGCGGTGTTTTGCAGACTCTACATTATTCTTTACTGCTGCACAGCATTCCATTATGTGTATGTACTACAGTTTGGTCATCACCTCTTCTGCTATAAATCTTAGAGGTAAGTCCCTTGCCAGATACGTAATTATTAGCAAATTATGAATTTGTTGCTGTCATTTTTGTTATGTGCTTTTTTTGTAGCATCAATTTCTTTGTTCCATATAATTTTCTATGCTGAGCTCATTTTGTTTATGAATTGTGTTATCACTTCCTTCATTGCTATTGTTTCAGTATTTGCTGAATATTTATGCTGGTCCTCTTTCTTGATGTGAAGGTTTATCATTTTTCTTTGAGGTTACCCTGTGATTTATAGTTTTCTTCAGTTTATAACAGTCCGTTCTATCTTATAGTTGGTCTTGACTTCCCTACCATCTAAAAGTTTTGTAATGACACAGATTTTTTCCCTCTTCTTGGTTTGTAGTTGTCCTCCTTTGTCAGTTGGTGTCTCTGGTTCCCTGTTTAAAATGTTGTAGGCTTATTTGCTTTGGATACTTCCATAGCTCGGTTGGTTTCTGGGTTATATCATCATGTGAATTAATGGTCAGTTGTTGTTGGCTGTTGTTGCTTCTCTGTCCAAAGGGCTCCCTTTAACATCTCTTATAAGGTTGCTCTGGTTTTAACAAATTCCCTTAATTTCTGCTTATCTGGAAATGTCCTCATTTCACCATCATATCTGAAGGACAAGTTTGCTGGGTATATAATTCTTGATTGGAAATTTTTCTCTTTCAGTGTTTTATGTATACCATCCCATTGTCTTCTCACCTGCATCACTGCTGCTGAGAAATCCAAGCTTAGTCTTATTGGTTGCTACTTGTAGGTAACTTTTTGTTTTTCCCATGCTGCTCTCATGATTCTTTGTCTTTGGTTTTGGTAAGTTTGATGATGATATGTCTTGGTGTTTTTCTTTTGGGGTCTATCCTGTTTGGGTTCGTTGGACTTCCTGAATGGATATATTCTTGTCTTTCATCATACCAGGAAAATTCTCTTCCAACAAATCTTTGACAATTTTGTCTGTGGTTTTATCTTCCTGTTCTGGAATTCTGATTTCATGTAGGTTATTCCTTTTGATGGTATCCCACAGGAACGTTAGGCTTTCTTCATTTTGTTTTGATCTTTTTTCTAATTTATCCCTTTCCAAAGAAGTGTTCAGGTATTTGTCTTCAATCTCTCTAATTCTGTCTTCCATTGATTCAATTCTGCTCCTTTGTCCATTCAATGTCTTATCTATTTCTGAAAATTTAGTCTTAATCTTCTGGATTTCTGTGTGTAGATTTTGTATCATTTCTAATTTTTCATTTATTTTATCATTTTGTTCTTGTATTGTCTTTAGAAATTGTTCTAGGGTTTTCTTTGTTTTCCTTGATCTGTCATCTCTCAATTCATTGAAGATATGTAAATATAATTCTTTCAAATTCCTGATCAGGGAGTTCCAATGCCTCATCTTTCTCAGGGATGTGTTTTGGGTCTGTATCCTAGTCCCCTGTTTCTCCTGCTTTATCTTGCTTCTTTGTGTGGACTGTGATACTCTGTTGTCTCCAAGGCATTATGACATTTTTGTGTTTATATTTAATTGGTGATTGTATGTTGGAGTGACTTGCTCACAATTTTTGTTTTGTTTTGCTTGTATGTTATCTATACAAGCAGGGTACTATGCTCCTCTATTCTCTAGTTGATAGCACTTATACACTCACCACCTGTCTCCTTTACTGTTGTCAGCCTCTCATATGTCCCTGCCGACCTTGGCAAACAGAGCCTATTCTTAGGTCCCTGGAATCTGAATGAGAATGCTATCACTTTAAAATCCAAAATGGTTACCACTTGTAAACACTCAAAATAGCTGTACCCTCCTTGATAACTTTAAATATCCAAAATGGTCACTGTTTATAAACAATGAAAATGGCTGCACCCTCAGTCACTTTAAATATCCAAAATGGCTGCTGCATGTAAACAAGCAAAATGGCTGCGCCCTCCAGACAGCATAAAGTCAATAGCTCAGACTGTCTCTCTCCTTGCTGTTTCCCTTCCTAGTCATAGGCCACCAGCACAGTTGTCCCTGAAGTCTTTGGTCACCAGGGTTGATCTTTAGGTCAGTTCTCAGGTCCCAACACCACTTGGAAATATTCAGGATGTTGGTCCCATCAGAGTAGCTGACAGTCCGCAGCTCCAACTGTTTCTATACTCACTGTTTTCACTCAGTTTTTCCTCTAGTTGGTGCCTAATACACTTCTGCATACTTCCTTTCAAAGTTCAGGACTCCAGGATTATTTTCTGTATCTCTGTCAATTGGTTTTTCTTTTCTTTATTGAAGAGGGTCTGTGTCACTTGTCTGCCTATCTCTCCATCTTACTGGAAATACCCAATTATTTTTTAGCTTTGTGGGTTCTCAATATTAAGATTTAAAGGATCCTGAGACCAACATTAAAGAAACAGATTTAAATTAATACTTTTAAAAATAAGCACAACAAGACTCCATGGAACATGAGGTACCAAATACAAATAAGCCAACAAACTAAAAGAACCAAAAGAAGGCAGATCTTAGAAATAGGTATTTATTGCTTCCCTGACTCTTAGGTCTGGAAGTCGCCAGATCAAAGCCAAACTGTGTAGTGAGATAGGTCCTTAGTAAGTTATTTAGGAGATCCACGCTATACTCTAAGGAAGGGTCAGTAAACTACAGCCCAAGGGACAAAGTGGACCACTGCCTTTTTTCGTAAATAAAGTTTTATTGGAACACAGCTCTGCTCATTCTACTTCTATAGTGATACTGCCTCAGAAACCCAAGAAGGGGTGGCTATGAGTCAGGTCCAACTCGACGGCACATAACAACAACAACAACATAGCTGCTTTTATGCTCCAGTGGCAGAGTTTAGTAGTTATAACAGAGATTGTATTAGGTCCACAAAGTCTACGTTATTTGCTATTGGCCCTTTACAGAAAAGTGTTGGCTGAGTATTCTTTGATACCCAATGTTAGCTCAGCTGGGCACAAGAAGCTTGCTCAATCCACAGGAAGTTCTCTCCTCTTCCTGTACTCCAAATTCCAGAGTGCAGCTCTGCACCTCTCTGGTGCTGTGAAATTGACTATACATTTAACAATCATTAGCTTTTAAAATGATAAATGACTAAATCTTAGTTTCTTGATAAATACAAGCATTTTATAATTTATCAATAACAAGCAATGGCTATTATCAGTAAAATATTCAGATCATTAAAGATATATTAAAAAAGCAATTTTTTACTATAAAATTTTATGTAAGAAAACTATCATAACTAGATTGCTACAGAGCAACAAAAAAATTTATTTAATAAAAGGTTCAAAGCACAGTGCCAAAACTACAATAACATTTTTAAAAGTTACTGAAAGGAAAAAACACTGTAGAATGCAGTTTCAGAAAGATACATTAAGTTATTTAAAAAGAAAGCTGCCTTAGGGTACAAAAAGAGAGACTTTACATGCCATACCTATGTTATCCCTGCAAACACAATGGCATTTATGTCATCTTAGGCAAAACCTGAAAGGATAATTGATAGAAACCATGAGCATGGACTATGAAACAGTTTTCTATGTAAATGGCCAAACTATTAAAACACCAATAATTTAAAGCTGTTGGATGTTGTATAGTGTTGTGGACTCTATATGAGCAGCTGTTCCTAAATATAACAAAACTTCGGGATGCTTATAACAGAAGGCACAGAGTGGCTGATTACAAAGATTACAATGAAATGAGAATTGGTCACTTTGCTGACACTATGGTTCATAAAAAACTATCAAGAAACACGATGAGATACAATTTCTACAGATTATATGCTTATAAATGTGTAACAAAAAGTGCAAATTTTTCCTACGATGTGCTTCAGAATTCACCCTAATACAATTAATATTCTCTCCTGTTTTGGTTATGCTTTCCAACTTTGCAAAGGAGATAATTTTCTCTGTTTTGGCTAGACAATAAATACTAGCTTATTCTAGAAATGGAAAAACCTAAACAAATTCTCAATTAAAAAAAAAAAAAAAAGACTTCTTTCTTAAGAATGGTTTCTGGACAGTTGTAAGCCAGTGCTCTACATTTCTTGTCTCCTTGTAAGGGGCACATTTGTGTTACAGCTTATATTTCAGGCTGATTGATATTAAGTCAGGAATGCCCTTTGTCATCTGTGGAAAAAGCGAACGGGAAGTTAACACCCCTTACAAACTTGGCTTATGCACAGGTTTACTCTGCTTCTTCACTCTTCTTAGAAGCTGCCCCAAGTGAAGCTTCTGTCTCGTACTTCCTCCCATCACAACTCTGCTCAGCAGGTGTCCCACCACACTCACATGTGTTAGTAGAGCCCAAACGGGCTCGGGCAAGAGCTCCTGGCTGGTATAACTGCATGGCTGGCCGGTCCTGCCAGGAGAGAAAGGCAGGGTTAGTTTTCTAGGGAAAATAACCCCCTAACCCAGCAATTCAGGAGGGGTCAGTTTGTGGGTTTGGTATCACATTATTTTGTATTTATAGGGCCTATTGATATGAATTGTGTAATGAAAATCATTTTTGTAGCTAAAAATCAGCCCTTTTCACAGGACTATCTCAGAAATCAGGAATTTCTAAAAAAAAAAAGCTATGAAAAGGATGGCAGTTAATACTTAACTTGAAAGAAAGTAAAAGTTGCTATCTAGGAAAATGTTATTCCTTATGAGAAGACTACTCTGGAAATTACAACCATGGCACTGGATAACTAGCTAATTTCCCAGTTTGAGAGATTAAAACTCAAATTCTCATGCACATCTAAGAACTTCAAATTCACCATACAAAGTGAGGTCTGCAACAGAATTAGGCATGGACTCACAGAGAGATGACTCCTTAGATCTATGAATGAAAAGTTACTAACATTAGTAATAAACAATTTCCATGTGGATTATTCCCATCTACCATGTAGGAAGCTGTGAACTGTTTGTTCTCTTTATAGAAAATACTAACCCCATCATCTTATTAAACTCTTGGCAGTGGGAAACAAAAATGATGACTGAAGTATAATGAGAGGCTAATGCTTTAGGGCAAGAAAGCACAGAGTAATTCTGAACGTTAAGATCTGTAACAACAATAAGGACAAATGCTTCTCTTGGAGAAGCCAGTCACCTTTCCTGTGAGCACTAGGGAGAAATGTAACAGAGGAAGATAAATTCCCCCCTATGCCCCTGTCAAACATCAGTTCAGTGGAAGTTTATAACCTAATAAGGCACCTTCCTCCTAAACATCCTTTTCTTTCCCTGTCTGTGTGTAGACAGAGAAGTAGTAAAAACAGCATTAAGATTGCCACCATTTGTAGCCTGAGCATAGCCTGTTGCATTGATGTGTGTAGGTCAGGTGAGCAAATTTTCACCTGCTGTCTTTCTCTGGGATTCACCCCACCTCACCTTTATCTACATTTATTCAGTGTGGAGGTCCCCTAGCAGGTCACCAGGGTGGCTAGAAATACTTGTTTGGGGGCAAGAGGAGAGAAAGAGGGGGCTTAACTTAACATTCTTTTCCTTAAATATAAGCATAGCCAATAAGAAGAGAGGAAAAAGGCTCGGAGGTCCTTGGTGGATCTGAGTCTCCCTGTGGAAGGCAGAGATACAGATTTCACAGGCTGCAAAGAGGAATCTCAAACAGCTGCTCTTTTGCCTACAGCCAACATGCATGGTTCTGCTTTTCACCAGTGGAACATTTGTGTGTATAAATGGAGCTCAAAATCTATTCTAAAGTACATTACAATAATTGCTTCTTGGCCTTTTGGCTAAGATCAAATGTAAAAGTACATTCTTACCTATATTACACTTACTATTCAGACCTCATGAGAGCTCTGGTAGCGTAGTGCCTAAGGCACTTGACTGCTAACCAGAAGGCTGGCAGTTCAAACCCACCAGCTACTCCTCGGAAGGAAGGTTGGGCAATCTACTTCCACAGTGATACTATCTTGGAAACCCAAGGAGGGGTTGCTATGAGTCGGGTCTGATTCGAGTGCAAATAACAACAACAACAACAACATTCAGACCTCATAAGAACTGTTACATACAAATCTCTCTCATTACCAATTCAGCATTCTTAGATTTAATTGAGAGAAGTGAGTCACCCTGAGTTTTCAGTTAACCCTTTCAGGATCAAATTATTTTCTGCTTTGAATTTTTTGTTGATACTATGTGTTTTCAGTAATGGAAGGCATGCTGAAATCAATGAAAAAATTTTGTTTAAGTAATAAGGATTTTGATACAATTACATGGGACACATATATCCCATGTGGACTCTAGTGGTAAGGTTGGTGAGCTGAGAGACCTGTTTCTTCAGATTCAGCTAGTTATACAGGTCCTCGCCACGTGGTAGCACATACTACAACTGGGATTGCAGCTTCCCAAGAAACCTGAGAGGATGAAATGCTGGTGGGCAACTGAAAAACAAGCATTCGTATGAACAAACTCCCCACTCAAAAAGACACATGGCTAAACTTTATGTCCCCAGAGATAAGGTATCTTTAGAAAGCTTCAGTTTAAACTGGTTGTGATTAGTCCATGGTGAAAATAAGAAGGCTCTACCCTGGATTTCAGTCTCACCATTACTGGAAACATTTAAAAAGTCAACATCATTGATACAATGAGGTAACTTACTAGGTGGATGGCAAGGGAATTAGGCTGAGTGCTAAAAGCCAATCTCAAAATGCCACATACTGTATGATTCTGTAAAAGATTTTTAAACTGACTAAATTATATATAGAGAGAACACTAGTTGTGGTCAGAGGTAGAGAAGAGGGCTAGGAGGAGGTGGCTGTGAACTGGAGCCTAAGGAACAGGCCCTAGGGATCCTTCCATCCTTAGCTCAGGGAACTGGTTGACAGGCAACCTCCACCTGGTTGGGTAGGACATATAAAGCAACTGGTAGAAGAGTGTCTGGCCCTAGAAAGGGAGATAAATGGGGACTGGTTTGTTAACTTAAATACCATTTGTAACATTTCTCTGAGGAAATGTGATATGAATAAAAAGTAGCTTCAAACGTAAAGAAAAGCTGTTGATTGGTTGAGAATAGCTAACATTTTATAAAAATTATTTAACTTCTTCTAAAAACAAAAAACCTCACTAAAAAGTGAGAGCAAGATGTGAAGGGGAAGACAGGGAAAGAAAAGATAAGGATAATTAAGAGGACAGAAAAGACGCTTGTTTGAGTATTGCTATAGTATATTGTTTTAGCCATTAAAAAAATGCTTTTGGAAATCCTAGTTATAAAACATATCTATAATATACTTTAATTGGTTTTGACTCTAGGAATTACATAGATATTCTATTTCCTAATCAACTCAATTCTTTTAAGGCTGATTATCCTATGTGGGTATATTCCATACATTTTTTTCTCCTCCCTTCCTTGGTCTCCTAGGAAAGTAAATAAAAGGAGATGAAGCTCAATCTTATTATTATGCTTCTTGGGCTAAACATATACATTTGGAAGATCTTTGAATTCTGCTTTGGAGCCATTCCTGGCTTCCACTTTCAGGTGTAAATGAAGTCAGACAAGTAGTCTCACTTGTATCCTTGACATTCATCTCCAATCAATGTTCTATGAACTTTTCACAGTTGTGAACCGAACTTGTCACATGCTCTCTATGGTGCTCAAGGCAAGTCCTCCAGTGTACCCTGTTCCACTGCAAAACTGAGGGAATGGTCTGAGTAAAGTGAATAACCTCAGTGTCTGTGCAGATCTAACATATGGATTTTTATGTACCATTCTTCTATTCATTAATAATCACAATGTTGTTAATAATATAAAAGGGAGTCATAGCTTAGGGGGCATGAGTTTCTGCTAATGGCAGTGGAATAGTGTGCAAAAGGATAGTAGTGATGGTTGTACAATATGATGAATATAAAGAATGTTGCTAAATTGTACATGTAAAAATTATAGTATTGGCAAATGCTTTGTTATATATATACATATATATATATATATATATAAATAGACAGATAGCTAGATATATAGATAATGTATTTATAGATATAAAATAAAGCTCCATGAAATAGTAATATTTTCCTGTCTTAAGGTTAAATTGCAAAATATTGCTATTACTTAATTTCAAGCAAACAGTGTAAAATGTGCTTGTTTTATCCCACCCTCCTCCCCCTTCCCCGGTAAGAAATAATTTTGATTCTCTGAGAAAAGATGAAAACTGCCTTCATTTTAGGATTAGACTTTCAAAGCTTGGTATCCAATAGATGAACAAAAACACTTGCTCAGGTAAATACTGATGCCTTCAAAACATTATGCACCCTAAGATAATGCCTAAGCAAGATCCAGTAGGGAACAAAACCTCATATTGTCAGGGTGTTTTACCTAGAGATACCTATATAGATGTTTTCTTCTTTTATGTTGTTCAATAAAATAACTACTGTTTTGGGAAAAGCAGCTGTAAGAGTGCAGAAGGAAGATCTTTGACCTCACATTATAGTTTAATGAAGGAAAGATTATCCTAAATGAGTAAAAGGACCTTATTTCTCATGCGCTCCTTTTTGGATGCCATGTCATCATCACACTTCTCCTCTTTACCCAGTCTCTCTATTGCCTCCACAGTGAAGCTGCAGTTTTGGCTCCCTTTCTTCCCTTTGTCTTGGGTGAATCCTTTCCCCCATTTCAGCTCATCTTCATTCCTTCTCAGACACTTATCAAATTCATTGTGAGCTCTATGCTTTTTGCCATCATCCAAGTGATATCTTTGTGTTTCAAGTTCTTTTTCTTGAAATCTTCTCTCCATATCCCTTGGCTCTTTATCATTGTCATTTTGTGACCTGTGGTTCAATATCAATTATTAGTATACTTATGTAAATTGCTTACTGATTATTTGCCTTCTTTTCTGACAAGATCCACAAAAACGGAATATGTAAGTCTTCTCATCAGTATATACCAGAGTTTGCACAGTGACAGGGACATAGCAAGTATGCAAGAAAAATATCAATGAAAAGATGAATACACAGAATTAACAATAATACTTAGCATTTAATTCAGTAATAGATAAATAATAGGCATTATGCCATATATATATATAACCAAAAATACCCAAAAGCTTTAAATATTTACAGAAGTAGACTGCTCAATCTTCCTTCCATGGAGTGGCTGGCAGGTTCTGGTTAAGCAGTCAAAATGCCTTAGGCATTATGCTACCAGAGCTCCATATATATGTATATGTTGTTGTTGTTGTAATGTGCTGTCAAGTCGACCCTACTCATAGCGACCCCTCCTTGGGTTTCCGAGGCAGTATCACTACGGA